GCGGCCCACCTCAACCCACACCCCTGAAACAGTTAACCTCACTCGGTAACTCACTAAAAAATTACTTTTGTTTGTTTAGGGGGAAGGGGTACATTCGAACTGGATGGTGTTTAGACAGACCCGATCCAATGGGTGACATTTGACGGCCGAAACACCAATAATCTTGTGGGCTTCCCAAAGGAGTGCGATTGTTTGGATTCACATTCAGTTACAACGGATTCACTTGTAGTTGAAAGGGTATAGAGTAATCAGTAAATCTGCATCCGGAATTCACCTATACGAAGGTGAACAGTTAAATAGTTGAGATTTATCCTGGCGTGATTATACACTTCTTCCGCGGGTGATCACTTGGATTAATTGTCGTATGGTGAGGAACCACTGCACTAGGCTGATTCATGAGAATAAACTAAAATCCCATGAGGCGCTGGTGCAGAGATTCATTGCCAGTCCCTAACTCTTGTATAAGCACGTTAACTCTATTCGGAAATTAAACTTCGGCATACTGGCACTAAGCAGCGCTTAAAGAGTTGCAGACACTCCAGCGTAAGCAGCTGAAATGCTGAAAACTCGTTATCACAACGTTTTCGTAGCAACGCAGGTTGAAGGTCTATCGCCTCCTTCAAGATTGCGTCATTTTCCATATCTCTCACTGATCTACGTATCATTTACTGCTGATAACGTCAAATCAAAACTAATCACCTTGAGATAAAATGCAACCTGAGGTGCGGACAATATTCACCCGAAATCGCTGATCTTTTTGGCGAATCACATATCCGAATCGCTAGCCAATCTGTTCCAGTGAATGTTTGACCAAGCAACACTCCAAGAATGATGGAAACCAGTAGTTATTTCACCCACATACAAAGTTGATTATCGTAGTGACCCCATTAACTACCGACCTGTAACCCTGCTTCCGGTGTTATCGAAATTCATGGAGTCAGTTGATGCAGATTCTCTGATGGAACACCTCGAACGATACAATATTCTTTTGACAGCTCAACACGGGTGCAAGCAAAAGCGATTCTGCTTCACCAACCTGCATCTTGTTCGGATGAATGGACCAGAACAGTCGACGAAGGGGATGCGGTTTACCTCGACTTCTCGAAAGCATTTAATCGAATTTTGTTACAAAAGCTATACAATTATGGCCTTCAAGGTTTCCTTTTTGATTGGATTAGAGTATCCCTCCAACAACGGACCACATCAGTTGGCGTTCTGATTCCATATCCGGATTTATCAATGCCGCCCGCGGTGTTCCACAAGGAACCGTACTTGATCCCCGTCTGTTTCTCGCATTTATAAATGATTTACCGAAAGTGTTAGGTTCAAAAACAATAAATTTTTCAGACGACTCCAAAATCTGAAATACAGTAACAGAACCTAAGGACTCTCTAACACTTAAAGAATCACCCTAACGCAGCTTATCAATGGTCTAAGGAAACCGACATTAAATGCAATGTTTCTAAATGTAAAGATTCTCTTATTTCCTCGAAAATCAGCAGCTAACACAAAATTCAAGAGGATTTAAGCTGCTCGATCAACCGCGCTAAGGCTTCGTCCCGTGATGTGAAGAATGTCGGCTTACTTAGGCGATTGTTTAGTCGGTTTGAATCAGTACTGTTCCCAAGTTAGCTATCAGTGTACATTCGACCATACACAGAATACGCAATCCAAGCTTGGAGGCCATGATTGCAACGCGATCGCCAGATGCTTGAGCGCCCACACAATGGTGGTGGCCAAGTGGTTAGGTCACCAACTAGTGACCTGGGTGTCCCGAGTTCAAACCGCTCCACCGCTGTGCGTCTTCCCTATATCTGTATTTTCCCCAGGCAGCCCTTGTATGGCTGCATCCCCCTTCCTGTACATTTGTGTATTCCATAAACAGAAATAGGAAGTAAAATAGACATTTATTATTTATTATGGTCACCAAAATGGTCAAGGGATTGTCTTGCCTCACCTATGAGGAGAGATTACGATCATTGGGACTATATTCTTCTCAGTATCACCGAATTCGAGGAGATTTGATTTTCACGTATCAAATACTGCAGAAGCCAAACCATCCATGTTGGCAGCTGCACATGTAATCGAACAGCGTACACCCTAGGGAACACCGTTTAAATTTACTGATTTCAAAGTGTCAACTGGAATGCCGCGGCTAAACTTTTGCAGTTAGAGTATGCAGTAATTAGAACATCCTTCAAACTCACGTCGTTTGTGCACCAAATAATGAATTCTTCAATCGGAGTGTAGATGAAAACATGGTAAACCCCACATTCCTACACAACTAAAGTAAACGCAAATTCATTGGGAACTACATTCTCCACAATCTCCTAACTCTATGGGATGTTTTTCGCCATGAAACGATTCGATTGTGTAAATATCCAATGAGAAAAAGATAAGTGAGCTAATAAGTAGTTCTCATAATAAAATTTTGATTTTCGGTTTCACATTCAATTAATTGGCTCACAGATTGAACAGACAAACGACACGAAAATTTTCCGTACATCCGGTAAATCCCCTTGCCGGAAAGGTGAAACAAAAAAATTTAACAGCCTACAGCCTGGAAGCATTAAACTGAAACAAAACAACGCGAATTACAACAAAAAGCTAAACATCAAAACGCGACTAGGTTCAAAGAGGCCAAAAAGGAAAACCATAAACTAAAGCATAGAAAACATGACAGAATGACCCAAAAAGAAGAGAACCAGGATTGAAAAGAAAACGAAAAGTACCAAGAACGCAGATGGCGCGATTGGAGTTGGACCTACCGGATGCGATAGTGCCAGTGTTGGTAGTGATCTCGGTTTGCACAGCATTGGTCCACGATGTCTCGGATTGATATTCGGATGAAGTGGGACTGGCATAGCTCGGTGTTATGGTTGATCTGGGTTCCAGTGTGGAGATGGTGGGTGAGGAAGTGATAGTTGAAGCCCAATTGGATGTGATCGGAGTTGTTGTGGATGGGATATTGGTGCCAGTATTTGTTTGTGCTTGGGAAGATGTGTGAGTAGATTGCACGCTGAATGCCGCTGTCGATGTTCGTGCTGTTGTGTATGCTGATGCTGCTGATTGTTGTGTGGATGAGATGGCCGGTGTTGAGTATGTGGACGCGATGGTGTGTTCGGGTGTGTTCGCGTTCGTGTTTGTCGTGTCTATGTGTGTGGTTGTGGTTTGAGTATTTTCGGTTGTTTGTATTGATGTTGGTGGCGAAGCATTTGTTTGTGTAGATGTTGTGTGCGGTTGTTCGGTTGTAATAGTAGTTTGAATTTGGCTGCCGGTTCCCAGTGTTGTGGTCGATCCGCTTACGGATTCTGTATGTAACGAGAGAGGTGAGGTTATTTGGTTGTTTCATTTCCGTTCGGATCATTCATTATAAGTACATATGTGTGTATGCAACATTTTCGATTTGATGTGTGTGTGTGTGT